AAAGCTGCCCAGGGCAGATAGAATCTTGCACATGCTTCACTTGTACTTCAGTTGGAAGTCCACAAGAGCAGTATACTCTGGATTTTTACAACTGGGACAAATGGAAATCACTGGGCTAAAGAGTTCTAGAGCATCCTCATAAAAGAGGGACAGGAATAAAACCCAGTCTGTTTCAGGGAATTCCTCTCTCTCTCAGAATGTTTATTCTCAGTTATTCTACATTATTCTTAGAACTATGATTAACAAGAGTGCAGACCATCTAGGTCTGTCAAGACCATCATGTGAGGACTATCCCACAGCCCCTATCATTTCTCCTATGACATTCTCCCCCGGTTACATGGCCCCGCCTTCGGTGGCCCGTGCTGCCCCCGCCACTGCCTCCAGGCCACCCCTCCCCCCGTGGCCTGGCCTGAGCATGCAGCCACCACGACCACCTTGGGGACCCAGGCTCCCGGAGGGGGAGGGCGCCCTGGCAGGGAGGGAGCGCGGCCGAAGAACTTCGCTCTCCCACGTCGGGGCGGTAGAGTTAGCGGAGTCGGGAGAGCTGCTGAGCTGGGACTAGCGTCGTGCCGAGCGAACAGCTTTACGGCAGCCACCTAGCCCGAGTGGCGGGGCATGACGGGAAGCGTAGTCCGTCCTCGGTGAGCGTCTCTCGGATCTGCTATTGGCTCCCGGAATGCGGGGTCCTGATTGGACGCCGCGTCCCGTGCTTTCTGCCCCACCCCCGTCCCTTCGGCCATGGTTACTACGGTTACTACCCCGTGGCGTTCTTCGGGACTCTGCAGTAAGGGCAAAGCTGAGCAGGCTGCGAGGTTCCATTCCCTTCAATTCCTAAAGCCAATGTCAACCTTGAAGGTTCTGGGTTTTATTTAATCAAGGAGGGCAATACTTTTTCTTCCATTCATTCAGAAACCATCCTTGGTTGTCTACCATAGGCAGACACTGTTTTAGAAAGTAAACCGTTGAATGAGACAGAACCCTTGTCTTCAAGGAAGTCACAGTCTGCTGGAGACACCAGAAGCAGAGAACTGCGACACAAAGAGACAAGTGCAATGAAAGAAGTAAGCACAAGACTCTAATTAAAGCGCGCTGTGTCGCCTTTCAGTGAAGTGGTGGAAGGATACCGGGTGAGTCAAGGGGTACCTGAGCTGAATTATAACAAGAGGCAGAAGTTACCTAGGTAAAGGAGATGCTATAGACTGAGCTTTGTCTCCGTCTCCCAATTCATAAGTTGAAGCCCCGTTGTGATGGTATTTGGAGATGGGGCCTTTGAGAGGTTCAGATGAGGTGGTGAGGGTGGGACCCTCATGGTGAGATTAGTGTCCTTAAAATAATTTTGAGCTGGGCTCGGTGGCTCAGCCTGTAGTCCCGCGCCTTTGGGAGGCTGAGGTGAGTGGATTGCCTCAATACATTGAGTTGTACACTTAAGATTTGTACACTTTACTGTACATTATTTGTGCTACTACATCATTGTTATAATTACTACTTTATAGTAATATAGAAAAAATATATAATATAGATAGAAGAAAAGAGAACAAGTATGTATTTATAGAGTTTGGTCTTAGTCTGTTTGCACTGCTATCACAAAATATCTGAAACTAGGTAATTTGTAAATTATATAAATGTATTTCTGGCCCAGTGTGATGGCTCATGCCTGTAATCTCAGCATTTTGGGAGGCCAAGGCAGGAGGATGACTTGAGGCCAGTAGTACAAGACCAACCTGGGCAACATAATGAGACCTTGTCCTCCAAAAATGTAAAAAAAAAAAAAAAAATTAGCCAGGCATGGTGGTGTGCACCCATAGTCCCAGCTACCCGGGAGGCTAAGGTAGAAGAATTGCCTGAGCCCAGGTGATTAAGGTTGCAGTGAGCTGTGAGCATGCCACTGCACTCCAGCCTGGTAACACAGTAAGACCCTGTCTCAAAAAAAAAAAAAAAAAAAAAAGTATTTTGTATGGCTCTGAAGGCTAGGAAATCCAAGATCACAGTGCTGGCAGCTTCTGTGTCTGGCAAGGGTCTGGTCTCTGCTTCCAGGATGGCATCTTGTTCCTGCATCCTCACAATGCAGAAGGCAGGAGGACAAAGTGCCTGGCTACTTCCCTCAGCATGCATAAGGGCACTAATCCCTTCAGGAGATTTCTGATGACCTAACCACTGCCTAAAAGCTCCATCTCTGAATACTATTGCATTTGGATTAAGATTCTAATATATGAATTTTGGAGGGATACATACATTCAAACCATAGCATTCTGCCCTAGTCTTCAAAATTATTATTATTAAGTTTTTTTTTTTTTTTTTTTTGAGTTGGAGTCTCACTCTGTCACCCAGACTAGAGTACAGTGGCCGCTTCCGGTCACCGCAGCCTCGACCTGCTGGGTTCCAGCGATCCTTCCACCTCAGTCTTCCAAGTAGCCGGAATTACAGGCATGCGCTACCACGCCCGGCTGATTTTGTGATTTTATTGTAGAGATAAGGTCTCGCTGCCCAGGCGGGTCTTGCACCCGCGGGCTCAAGCAATCCACTCACCTCAGTCTCCCAAAGGAGCGGGATTACAGGCTGAGCCACCAAGCCCTGCTGTATTTTTTAGGTATGTACCGCGTAGTCACCATCCAGATCAGATAGAGACAACTTTAGTACCCCAGAAAACTTTCCTGTGACTCTCCTAGTATGTATACACAGATGTTAACCTATGGAAAGTAAGGAAGCAGTTTTTATAAAGGTATTGGTAAAATTCGCTTTAGGAGAGAGGAAAGTGGGTGCTGTTGGGAAGGAACATATTCTATTTCTAGACCTAGATGTTGTAGATGTTTGATTTACATTATTCACTAAATTGTACATTTATGTTTCATGTACCTTCATGATAGTCTGTTTTAAGTTGCAATTCAAAGTTTAAAATAAAAAGGTAATTATAGTTTACATTTTTAAAATTTATTAATAAATGTTACCATACTGATTGTGAAATATTTTTATTATTACTCCTGTGTAGGTTCCAAGTAACCATTTTCCATTATGTGACTGCTCTCCTGGCCAAAGTTGAACGGACCCAAACTCATTAGGGTCAATAAGAATATGTTCTCCGCCGGGCTCTGTGGCTCAGCCTATAATCCCAGCACTTTGGGAGGCCGAGGCAAGTGGATTGCCTGAGCCCACAGGCTTGAGACTAGCCCAGGGAATTTGGTGAGACTTCGTTTCTACAATAAAGTTTTAAAAAAATAAGCCAGGCATGGTAGTACATGCCTGTAGTTCCGTCTACTTGGAAGGTTGAGGCAGAAGACTCACCAGAGCCCAGCAGGTTGACGCTGGGGTGGCTATGAGCACTGTACTCCAACCTGGGTGGCAGAGTGAGACTTCGACTCAAAAAAAAAAAAAAATACTTTCTCTAGAAATTCAGTAGCGATTCTATCCTTCCTTGTGGATTATATTTGATCTATGCGCTTTATGTGCTATATGTGTTATATTTGATCTATGTGCTTCCTTGTGACTGTTTATATTTGATCTATGTGCTTTGAGTAGCCACCCTGTTTCAGGTTCACTCAGTGGAGGGGAGTCTGCATTACTGAGAAAGAATGAGACAGACACAAGAAGTGTAGAAGAAAAGGCAGTGAGGGCATTAGAGATTCCAATTGGCCTTCGAATCTCTAACTCAGCAATATCACTACCTTGGAAAGCTGTATTTCTGCCCAGGAGTTATTCTTGTGTCTGTATAGCAAATTCTCTTTTTTGGGTTAAAAAAAATTGGAGGCAGCTTGGGTAGATAATTCTTTTGATAAGTCTTTTCAAAAAAGGTTTTTCATTTTTCCAAGAATGGGAAAATGTGTCTTGACCCCACATTTCCCCATGTGGGAGGCTAAGATATAAAACACAAGATCATGTTTCTATGTTGATAAGAAGGAAACTGTTAGCAGAAGTGGGATGCAAGGACCCAAGTCCTGAAGAAAGGTAAGAGGGGCTAGGACAAGGGTACAAAGGGCCTTGTATGGAGGCAGGGACACTTCTAGATTATACCTGGAGGGAAGAAGAAAATGGAGTAGACATAGGTTTGTTTGTGGATTTACTGAGTGAATTCCCATCTGATAACATGTCTTTGAAAACAAAGTGGAGAAAGAAAAGAAGATGTGCAAAGTCATTTCAGAGAATGAGAAAAAATGGTGCTTACTAGAGAAACATAGTAGGATAGCCAAGTTGAATTAAAAGTCCATTTGAGGCTAATGATCATAAATTTAAGGTACAAACAATTTAGCTGCAAAATTCTGTTTAGAAGTGAAAAGTTGGGCAGATATTTGGGTTCAGCCTGAATCAGAGTATTGCCAGATGGGTATGAGTGAGGAGACAGAAAAACAAGAAAATTTACAGTATTTGCTTCAGAGTAATTATAATGATAGAAAAGTGATTCTCAAGTTTAGCTGCATGTTGGAGTCACCCATGGAGCTTTTAAAATTCTTGATTTAATAGGTCTAGGGTGGAACCTGGGCAGGGATACTTTTTAAAAGCTCCTCAAGTTGCTTCTAATATGCGGTTGGTATTGAGACTCTCCATGTAGACCAAGAATCTAAGCTGTCACTTGTATACCTAATCCTGATTTGTACCCCACATCTTTAAAATGAAGTATTTTTTAAAATGTAAAATAAAAAATAAGAAAAAAAAAGAATATAAGCTGAGTCATGAGGGAAGACAAGAGGAGTCTAATGAAAAAATAGGAAAGTGATGGGGTCAATGAACTTGACATCACAAAAACCACAATAAATGATAGCAGTGAAATACTAGAGCAAGTAAGCTGAAATAATAGGAAGTAAGGATTGACAAGTAAATACTTGAAAGTTTTTGAAAATGGTATAGTCATGGGAATGGATTTCCAAGGTAGAATGAAGGAGAAGGTCATTATCGGTGAGGAGACAAAGAATATGAGACCATATTTTGAGTGGTCCACACAGGTGCTAC